AAGACTTCTCTATGAAACTTAAAGCAGAAACTGATCGCAAATGGTCAGAAAAAAGCCAGTCACCACGGACATCTCAAGTGAGTTCTTACCTGCCCTCTAATTTGTCAGAACTAGAACTCAATGTTCTGGATGGCAGTACTTCAGATCATTTTGAAGATGATGATGACATTGGTTCACTAAGAATTTCAAAGCAATATAAAGATATCTGTGAGTTAGTAATAAACAAACTTCCAGGATATACGGTGTAAAAATGTGCTTTAAAAAAATTTTTTTATGTGTATTGTTAAAAATTTTAATACCTTCACATTATTTTAGTGCATAAATTATGTGAATATTTCTTTTTAAGAAAAGTAAATGTCATTCCTTTGATGCTTAACTAATATTTACCTTAATCTGATAATATTGATCATGAGATCACCTCATAACTTAGGTAAGATTTCTTTATAAGTTATTTAAAAATAAGAATATATCTTTCTAAACTTTTGAAGTATCCTAAAATATGGAACATTCAAAGCTGACTTCATTGAAAAAAAAAAAGTTAATAAGAATAGCTGCAGATTTTTATGGGAATAAGTTATTTAACAAACAAGATATGATTCCTGCTCTTGCAGGAGTTTATAGCACATGTATATATATTTGTGTGTGGGTGTGCTTGCATATACAGTGTTCTATACCTTTGTTTACCCACAATCTGTGTGACTACTTGATTAAGGTTTGTCTTCCACTAGGCTAAAGTGCTCTGATGAGAAGGACCCTGTCTGTTTTTAGCACCCAGCACAGTCCCTGGCATGTAATTGGGATGCAATAAAAACATTTGTTAAACAAAATAAATGATTGCCTGGCATGTAAAATATCTAATTCGAGGTTAGCCTTAAATAGTAATAACAAGCAGAAACTCTGAAAAGACACTTGTGAAACCCTTATCAAGACATGTTTGACTAATATTTTTGTTTTGCTGCATGTAAACAGCCTTCAGATGTTCTCTGAAGCATCTGGAGAGGGGAGTTAAAAAAAAAAAAAGAAAAAGTGTCTTCCTGTGTGGTTTCTAGAATAGGAGTTCAGTTTATTGCTTGTCACTTCAGGTTCAGTGATTCTTTTTTATGTGTGAAACCTTGTTTTCAAGTCTAGTGATAATTTATAATCCATTGATTTTATACTTTGGCTTTATTCTGTGTTCAGATATTTGCATATATTTTCTTCTGAGTTATACTTTAATTTTTTGGTTTTGGACATGTGAAGTTCCTAATTTTCCTTTATTTAAAAATAATTAATTATATGGTATTATCTCCTGAATGATAGTAATAGTAGATGACACTTAGATAGAAGGTAAGAAGAGAAGAGGATGTTCTATGTGGGGGATCAGCACAAATAGAAGAATGATGGACATGAGCATGAAATTCATGGGAGATGGAGACTCTTACCTTGATTGGAATAATAGTTTCTGCTAAGAGTGATAATTGAGTAATCCTTTTTACTTTGCATGCTCAAGGTTCCCAGCACCAGAGTAAACTTACAAAGGCAGGAATTGGGCTTTTAGTTATTTTGAGTCTTCCTTCATCTGTAGTGATAGCCATGGCTAATCATCAGGTAGAATTATTGGTGGCTTGTTGAGATTTCTAGACTCTTTATCCCTAGTCATCCAGTCTTATAGGTAAGTTTCAGATCCTTGTTTGTTCTCATTGGATTAAAATACATGGAGAGTTTTGCAGAATGACAATATGTGAGCCAAGATTTGCAGAATCTTCTCATTTTTATTGTAAATACAAAGAAAACTGACTTGATCAAGACCAAGGTATTCTTCCTCACTTTCTCTAGGAGTCTTGTCATGCCAAGCAGAAACTGACTTCAGGATGGTTATTAGGAGGTTAGAGTGCTGACCCTTCATGCATTTTCCTGTCTTCCAAACAGTTCCTAGGTTTATTATACTTAAAAAGAAAACCAGTTAGAAAAGGTTAAAAAATTTGGATGAGAGCTTTTGTTTCAAAATGTGTACTAAGGAAAGGTTATGGTCCTTTCCTTCCAAAATTCACAGAAAATGCCAGCAATGAACTAGACAATTTGAGGAACTTTTGGAAGATCAAAGCAGATGGGACTAAGTTGATGAAAAAATGGGTTAGAAATCCACACTTCAGCATAGATATGAGGGTGGAGCTCATGGAAACAAAAGAACCAGCAGGAAGAAGTCTGGAGAAGGTCACACTCAGAGCCACCAAGCTGGCAGCAGAAGGAGGCTTTCCAGTTACTAAGCTAAGTCGGGCATGGCATTGTGCAGGTGTCAATCTAATGGGGACTCAGGAAGAAAAGGAGCCCCGAGCCAGGACATATGTGAAGACTGAGTTTTCTAAAATAGGAGAAGGCAGTGTACTCATGTAGGGTAGCAGAGTTGTCCTGCACACCTAGGTAAGGGCCTCCCATAGGCTCTTCGTTTATATGTATTTCATGTCTTTCCCTGATAGTATACAAAAACATTTTCTTTCCTTTAAGTGCTTCTGGGATGTGGGTGGGACCAGGGAAGAGCTGACCTAATCCATCAAAATAAAGCAGTGAGAAGCTTGCTGAATGAGGTGGGGGCTATGGAACTTGGCTTTCTGATCAGATACTGAGTAAAACACTTGGCAGCAGGACTCCGTGAAAACTTTAGGAGAGAGAATGTGCTTGTCCCAGAACAGGACAGCGCAGGTTAGACAAGGTTCCAGCTCCTGAGTAATAATAAGAAGACAGCTAAAGGTTCATGTTGGAAAGAAAGCATGGGCTGGAGCAGGCCCACAATTAGGAGCTGGTCATGATCAGCTGGAATATTGTATGTGACTGCTTGGAATATTGTATGTGACTTTCATTTCCTTTTTGTCTTCCTCTTGGTTTTAATTTAGTTCTTTTTGAAGGATCTTGTTCAGCTCTAAGAGCAGTGGGAAATGGATTTGTTCATAGCTCATACATAACTGGAGCTGAAATCCTAAAGGAGGAGCCACAAACTCCCAGTCTACATACCCAATACCAAGAAAAAAAGATAGAAGGACTCTTAGAAGCCCTTCCTTTCTACCCAGAGATTTCTCCTTCAGCTGTCTACTGAAATCCTCAAAGGGCTTTGCACTTTCTTTTATTGAGGGAAGCTGTTCAATTATTGTCTTACACCCATCAACTGCCTCTCAGAACCCGTGATTTCAGTATCGGCTCAGGAGTGAATTGGGGCTCATTTCTGAACTCAGGATGACAAAACAATAGATTGCCATAGATGCAGAGAAGCCTGCTGTCACATCGTTCTGGAAGTTATTGCTTACGTATTCAGAATCTGTAAGATGGTCTGCAGGTCTTTGGAACAGCATCTGTTAGTCTGTTCGTCCAACCTGAGACTGTCCTGAGTGTGCACATGTGCTGCTTGTTATGAAGCAGCCCTGTTCCCAGTGGTGCCTTCAGCTCAAGAGGGCCGACTCTAGTTTCCAGGTGAACCCTCCTCTCATTCCAGTACTGCTCGTCTGCATGTCTGATTTCTTGGTGTTCTCTTCCACCCTTCCTGGCAACCTTGTGTGTTCTACTGTCCACCTCTAAGAACTAGTGTAAGAGGTTCTTACTCAAATTATGGCCTTGTTCCTTATTGAAAACAAGGGTGCTAAAAAGGTCACTGGACCTCATTTTATGTTGTCATTACTTTGGCACTAATGTCCCCTTACCTGGAAGAGCACTTTCCAGCACACGAGGCCTTTCATGACCTCACATAGTCCTTACAAGAGTGCTGCGAGCTGAGTAGCCATGTAGATGAGGAAACTGAGGCTGTTTCTCTATCATTAACTTTCTCACATTCACAGAGAAACCGAGAGGTTCTTGGCATAACTCCCAGAAGATGCATGTTCCTTCAACACTTATGTAATTTCTAGAAGCAGGGTGGACAGCAATAGTCTATAAACATACAAAATTCCAATTTTATGCTAATTTCCTGAGGTAAGAACCTTCATCATGAAATCTGTGGTCTTGGCTGATTTCTGTGTAGAAAACATTGCTATTGGCTGTTTGCTTGGCATTGCACAGGGGTCTCCAGAGCTCATTCCTCTTTTTGACTGAACTTTATGCCTCTTGGCCAGCAATTTCCATTTCTCCTCATCAACCCTGAGAACCTGCCCCACTCCAATCATACCCATTCCACCATTTATATACCTCACGTTGTGGCACCTGCAGTGTCCTTCTGTGACCCCAAATGCACCTCTGTTGTGTGTTTCAGAGTGCCTTCTTTCTAAAAGGTGTGTAGTATTCCATTGTATGGCGTCACATTCTCTCTGTCCACTCATATGGCAGCGGACGTGTAGGCTGTTTACCTGACTATTGTGGATAATGCTGCCGTGAGAAAGAAGCTTTAGTATCTCCATCAAATCCTGGTTTCAGTTCTTGTGGATAAACACCCAGAGTGGCTCTCCCTTTTATTTTTGTCTTTTACTTTTATCTTCTAAACTAATCAGTTGTTTTTACTGAACCAATTGTATGCTTTCCTGTATCATAAAGAAGCCTCCAAGCCAGGTACAGTGGTGTGTACCTGTAGTCCCAGAGACTCCAGAGACTGAGGCAGGGGCATTGCAAGTTCAGGGCCAACCTGGGCAACTTAGACCCTGACTCAAATTTTTAAAAATAATAATAATAAATAAAAAGACTAGGGATGTGGCTCAGGGATAGAGCCACATCCTGGGTTCAATCCAAAGTGCTAGGGGGCAGGGGGAACATCCATCTTCCTGCAGAGAATATATACTACAATGAACTTAAGTGTAGATTAAAAATGAGCTTAAATTGCTGGGTAGTTGGATGGTTATTAGAAACAAAAATGCAAGCTAGAAAATGCACATCACATATTTCAGCTTTCTCATTTCATAAATAAAGTACATCCAGGAAAAGGGAGGTTCTTAGTCTTTCCCCTCACTTTAAGGTTCTTGCCATTGGAAAACACCATTTCATGTGTCAAATGGTGTTCTAGTCAGCTTTTTTGCTGCTGTGACTCAAGGACCCGACCAGCACAATTGTAGAGGTGGAAGAGTTTATTTGAGGGCTCATGGTTTCAAAGTTCTTTGTCCATAGAAGTCCAGCACCATTCCTTGGAGCTTGAGGTGAGGCTGAACATCATGGTGGAAGAATGTGGCAGAGGGAAGCAGCTCACACCATGGTGACCAGCAAACAGAGAGAGAACTCCATTATCCAGATACAAATATATACCCAAAGCCATCCCCCCAATGCCCCCTCCTCCAGCCACACCCTACCACCTCAGTTACCACCCAGTTAACCCTATCAGGTGAATAGTTCACTGATTCGTTAAGACAACCCAATCACTTCTCTTCTGAACCTTCTGGCATTGTCTCACATGTCATTTTTTTTGGGACACCTCACATCCAAACTATAACAAATGGGTATATAGCAGTCCCAGATTGTGTGTTTGGCAGACATTCTGCACCATTTACATGGAAAACACAGGTTAACTTTCAGTTAGTACCTATGTAGAGATGTGGGAATTCATCCTGTTCCCTGAAAGGCATCCTGTTTGGACTAGGGTTACACAGACATGTTGATGCTGGCTCCCTCCAAACGCCTCCTACAACCTCAGTTTTCCGTGTCTGTGAAGTGGAGAAACAGTAGAACTCAACAGATTAACACGATTAAGTGAGGTAGGATTATAGGTGGGATGAGCATATCCCTGGTCCCTATCAGAATAAACCAGCTCTCCTCACTTCTCCAGATTCCTGGCTGACACATAGTGAAGCCTGTGAGACCCATCTGGACCCCTGTCCACACAGGACTGCTGAGTGACTGCTAGGAAGAGTTGCAGCCAATTTGTCATGCACAAGGCACAGGAGTGATGTGGGGTTTACTCAGAAGCTCGCCTTCTCAAGGTGGAGGGCCTGGAGACATGCAGAAGCTCTACATGTGAAGCGAGGGTCCTACTGCATGTTCTGCTTTCCAAGTGTTCTTTGGGGTCTTTAAGGTCCATGCCTGCCAGAGAGCTCTGAGTATCTGAAGACATTAGCATGTCTCATGATTTTGAACATCTAACAAGAAGGGGCTGTGGGCCCGATCTTACTTCTCTCTGAAGTCTACTTACACTTGTACAATTTACCTTTCTTTTGTTGTTCTCTATCCAGTCACAGAAAGATTTCAGATTCTCCTCCTCTTCTTCTCCTTCTCCTTCTCTTCTACCTCCTCCTCTTTCCTCTTCCTCTTCCTTTTCCTCTTCCTCTCCTTCTCCTCCTTCTTTTCTTGGCCACACTAAGTGGCTGAGGCTGGCCTTGAACTTGTGATCCTCCTGCCTCAGCCTCCCAAGCTGCTGGAATTACAGGTGTGTGCACCATGCCAGGATTTTCAGATTCTTAAGGTTGATGAATATGATTCTTCTTGTATTTACACAACCAAGAATGACTTTTGTAGTTTGTAGGATGAGTAAAAGAGTTTTTTTTTTTCCTGAAGAGTTTTCTGTGTCTCCTAATGTTTATCCCTATGGGAAAAGAGTGAGCATCACTGACCTAACATAAATCAATGAACCCTGCTTCTCCTGGGCACCTCTAAAAATGTGTGTTCTTTCCCCAGTCACCTGCAAGGAGCCTACCACAGTACTTTCCACAAAGTATGTTGTCTTAATTCATTTGTGCTACTGTAACAAAAAGCCACAAACTGGGTAATGTATAAGGAAGGGAAGTTTGTTTCTCAAAGACCTGGAGGCTGCCCCAGGTGCCTGCAGGCTCAACCTCTGGTGATGATCCACTTCCAAGTTAGCACCTTTGTGTCACGTCCTCCAAAGAGGAGGAACATGTGTCCTCATGGCAGAAGGGAACCAGGCAAGAGAGGCAAACCCCTCACAGGCCCCTCTATAAGGTCACCCGCTCTGATTCTGAGGGTGGAGCCCTCATGATAGTCACCTCCCGGGCCACACCACCTCATGGGTCTTTGTGGTAGAACTTGTTGCTCAGATTGTTTGTGGATCTGATTTTATTGATTAAACCTGCCACACAGACCATTGTTTCCTAGTCTTAATGTTTTAGAGTACTTTACAGCTGTCATTAAATGTATAATATTCAACATTTTTTCCATCCAAGTTTGAAAAGCAAAGGTGTCATCGGAGCTGTGTTCCAGTTCCCTGATGGCAGCTACGCGCAGGCGGTCCTCGCCCGACCCTCCAACCACTCCAGGTGCCACCCACTCCTCGTGCTTTCTCAGCTTTGTGCTCTTCTGGTTTTCTCCAGAACCATCTTCTTCAGGCTCCCTGGCTTTTCCTCTGTGTCCAGACCCTGCCCTCCTCGCTCTCACCGCTGTCCTGTGACTGCTCACACAACCCCTTCAGCCCATCTCCCACTAACTGGAAAACAATTTGGGACAAGTTTAATGTCCAGCATAACCCTCTTTCAAGGTGCAGACACATCTACCGGAAATACCAGTTGTACATCACAAACATCTAAAGTCAGAGTGCCACTGTGGCTCTTAACTCCTACCTGCACAACCCCCCTCTCTCAGCTTCCTGAGCTGAGGGCTCTCCCTTTGCACCCCCTAGTCACCTCCACTGTCTCCACCTTCTCTGTGCTTGGGGACAATCTCTGTGGATGGCTCCAATAGCCAACTGTGGGTTTCAGCTTCTGTTTCGCTGGTGGAAGGCACTGGCAGGAGGTTGGAGGTTAGGAGGAGAGGGCAGTGGGCATGAGTCCCTGGCTCCCTCCTGCTGTCAGCCTTGGGTAGGTCGTGCCTACACTCCTACAGAAGAAGTTGTATCTTCGTGGGACAGTCTTTTATAGCTGTGGTCACAACTACAGTGCTTGGCTCTAGGAACTGACCACCCCTTACCCCTTGGCCCTAGGATGCTGGTCCTGCTGTCCTGCGCTGTCCCCAGCTGGTCTCCCTAACTCTGCCTGCCCCCTCACTGAGTTCCCTCCTCAGCCTATTGGAGTGCACTTTCTTGTCAAGTTCTCGACTGACGCGTCTTCCTGGGCCCAGCGCCAGCACTAGTCTGCTTGCTCAGGCAGAGGATGAGCAGCATCCTCTCTCTGTCCCCTCCACATCCTGTCCACCCTGTTGACACCACCTTCTACATCAAAATAACGCTGCTTGTCTCCTTGCCCTCCTGGCCCTTACTGGTCTCAGCTTGTTCAGCCCACTCACTGCATGGCTAAGTAATCACTTAAAAATACAAATCAGGGGGCTGGAGATGTGGCTCAAGCTGTAGCACACTCGCCTGGCATGCACGGGGCGCTGGGTTCTATCCTCAGCACCACATACAAACAAAGATGTTGTGTCCGCCGAAAACTAAAAAATAAATATTAAAAAATTCTCTCTCATTAAAAATAAATAAATAAATAAAATACAAATCAGGCCACATTCTTTCATTAGTGGCTTTTAAAGTAAAATCCAAATTCCTTTCCACAGGACCATAAGGCCCTGCATGTGGGACCTCTGCAGGGACATTCCACACCTCACTCCAGCCAGTGCTGCAGGCACCCCATGCTCCCTGCTGTTGCTTCCACACCTCAGGACATTTGCTCATGCTGTCCCTGCAACACCCCCTATGGGGCGCACTGGCTACTCTGCTTTTCCATGTTCCTTCTTGTCATCTCTTCAGAGAGGCCTTAGAACAGTCTCATCAAATGAGGTTTCTTCGTCCCATCTTCCCCCACCCCTGTCATTGCACCTGGTCAACTCCTAAAGTCTCCTACCACATATAATTATGCAGATCAATAGTTTTTATGCTTGTTTACAAAAAAAAAATCCTCCCTTAAATTTTTCTTGTCTTTTTCACTAGTCTGTAAGTCTCTGATGGCAAGGATGGTCTTGCCCCCACTGTCTAACCAGTCATAACACAGTTCCTGATGTTGGCATGTATCGGCATGCAATTGCTTACATTCTATAAACATTTGTTCAATGCACAGAGGCTTAAATATTCAAGTGAGGGAGAAACAAGCACTAGTGCTTCCTTAAAAGGTTCACAAGAAATGGCAGTGAAACTGAGGAGAAGATTTTACGTAGGTACACACATGTATCTATCCCCCACCCCAGGGAATACTCAACATTCCGATGTCCTTAGCCTGTTGAGGATCCACAAAAACCACTTAGCTATAGAGGAAGTTTCAATTACACAAGGGAGATTAAAGCCACAGCACTTGGGAATAATTACCACGATGTTTTCCATTATACATGCTCAAGAAGAAGAAAAGAAAAAAGAAAGATCGATATGAAAACCCAATGGAAAAACATTTCAAACACTAATCAAATGACTATTACAATCCTAGGAAAATTATTTCAAAGTCTCAGATCTTTGGTCTGAGGCCTGAAGACTAATCCTAGAATGATGTAGTTAAAACTCAAGAATTCCAAAAGCTCTGCTAGAAGCAGGAAGGTTTCCAGTGCTCTGCTCTGGCCAGAACCATCCAATGAAGGATGGCATGTGCTTCCTGCCTGAGGTGCATCTGCACTCTGACAACCCCCTGACCACTAGCATTCTGCGTCTCCAGTTGTTCTTCAGGTATCTGGTTTATTCCTCACTGCTGTGTGGTAACTTTTAGGGCTAGGGATGTGTTTTAAGCTTCTCTTCCTGGTCTAGACAATCCTCTATAGAGGACTGTGGTAAGCATCTACGAACCTTGCTACCCAAAATCTATTGTCTTTGGAAAAACAGTTCATTCCGATTTTCCTCTCGGAAAGACTCTCAGTCCCTACTTCTCCAGCTCTGCAACTCTGGTGCTCCTAATCCTCCCACTTCTCATTTGAAACAGCACCTCCTCCTCTCCCAGCCAACGGCACTCAATGGGCACTTGCTCTCATTTGAGTAGCTGTCACGCGGCTGCCCTGGGGAAAGCCTCCTGCCGCAGGGATCTGAGCATCTATCTGCCTGGAGCAGGACCAGAACTCGGAGAACAAGGACCCTTGGCCCCCGGCCACAGTTGGGTCTGGGCCACACATCCAAAAAGGGTTAGTTCCTAGACTGGTCAATTACTTTAACAAGAAATTCACTTTTTAAATATAAAGACTATTTTGGATTGGGGGTCTCTCAATGGAATTTTTGAATACAGTAAGCACTTGATTTCCACCATTTGGGCAGTTGTGTTGAAGCCCCCTGAAAGAGCAGGAAGGCTCAATGTTAGAGTCTGTAAACAAGTCAGGATGGCACCTGGCATTTTGCCAGAGGGAGTGGTTTATGAAGTAACGCCATCGTGCCATTAAGTGTGGAGATTCCTTATTGGTTGACTGCTGTATCTAGTTTATGTTAATTAGATAAGCTTTGTGGAATGTATATATGCCCCTCCTGTCCTACAATAAATGGCTCCTACTCCTGCTGTATCAATCTACCCAAGTTCCTTGTCACCCCCGGGGTTATTTTGCTGGACAGTGGAAGCTCCCTTGATTGGAATGGGTGGGAACAGAAATCCCTGCCGGAATGAAGCTTCCTAAATGCTTCAGGGCCAAGCAATTCTGTTCAAAAGACCAAAGTTTGTTTATTAATTATTATTGCTTCCAGACCATTCTTGCTGTTTCCCTCTGACCTTCTGAAAAACAAGTTTGTACTGATTTAAAATTAGAATGCATTTATTTATTCTGAAGAAAACATTCTTTGTTTTTGTCAACAGCTGTAATTGCATCCAAATAGGCCAATTTAGTTTAATCCTATACCTAATTAAGGAATTTAAAACTATTTAAAAGATATAATACACTTCTCAGAATTTAAATGTGACTGTGGCAAGAGAATAGCAAGTTCAAGGCTAGCCTCACCATTTAACCAGGCCCTACGCAACTTAGTGAGATTCTGTCCCAAAATAAAAAATCAAAAGGGCTGATGATGTGGCTCAGTGGCTGAGCGCCCCTGGGTTCAATCCTTGGTACCAAGAAAAAAAAAAAAAAAGGTGACAATACTTTTGCTTAAAATTAAATGATTCTGCTGTGTAAATGGAAACCACTCTCTGTATGTTAATTTAACAATAAGAAGAATGTGGAAGTCTTTCCATGTTAAAATATGTAAATATCATCACTTTCAATGACTGACTGTATTCCATATGTACCCTGATGTTTTTTTTAAGAGCTCATCACTACATGAAGGACATTCAGATGGATCCCCTAATGTGAACATGTATTAAAACGTGGCTAATAATCCTGACATTTTTATCACTCTTATGAATACAGGCCAAGGAGGGGGCACGGCTTGTAGGTTGAACCATGGTGCCGCTCACCCAACAGCCTTCCGAAACCTGAGCTTCAGCTCTGCATGGAATCCAGCGCTGGTGGAGGTGGAGGAGAACCCTTGCCTATGCGCCCACCTGGTAGGTGGAAATGGCCCTGTCTCATAGCTCCCGTTTGAATTTCTTTGATAACTAATGGATGGAACTTGTTTTTATGGGCAAGCGATCAGTTTTTGTTCCTGTAAGAAACTACCTAGAAAAGGGGCTTGAGATGCCAGGCACTAGTTGGGCGGCTAGGTTGCTGGTGGGCTTTCTGCAGGTGGCTGGGTGCCTCTACCTTGGGGGCTCTCCATGTGCACCGGCACTAGGCAGGGAAGCCCACACGGTTCCCAGGAGAGGCAAGTTCCCAGAGAAGGAGCAAAACGTGCGTGCAGAGCCTCCGGACCCCCAGGAGGCCTCCTGTCTGCCTGCTGTTTGACCCAGTGGGTCCTGGACCAGCTGAGACCTGTGGCTGGGGAAAGAGTCCCAGCTGGGTGTAGGACAGATGGACTCACCTTGCAAAGGGGTGTGAACAGGAGGAAAGAACCACTTGAGCTGTTTCCAAACCATCCAAGCTTTCTCTAGGTCAGTATGTCGTAGCCAGACCTTTCAGCTCTTTAAACACATTCTTAGTTTTGAAGGTATTCAGATTGTTTTCTCAGTGTGATGGGCAGTCCGTGACGGGAAGTCCATGATAGACTTATCTCTCCACCTGTCCCTTGGGTCAGTAAAAGGACTGATTTCATGTCCTGTCCTGTCTGCATCCTTTCCTGTCCACCAGTCTTCAACTCAGGCTGGTCCAAGTGCAGGTTTCCCAAGCCATCACTGCAGAGGCTCACTGCTGTTTATCCATGGACGACTTCCTACACCCGATTCAAGAGCTGGAATTGCTGTAGAGTGCCTTCCTACACCAGGTTCAAGAGCTGGGGTTGCTAAAAGAGGGACTTCCAGGTAAGCACGCTTATTGTTTAAGATGCTTACCATTTCCAGCTTCTGATAACAATATACTGCCTGATGGGGAGAGGCTTTCCTGCAGTCAAATTTTTCTGGCATGTTGTCTAGGAAGATTCCTCAAAAAATTTTTTCCTAATGTTTTTCTAGTGCTAAGGTCCTATGGCTGTAGGACTTTTGATTAATTAATTTATCTATTTATTTTCATGTTATAATCAATTTAACCCGGGACTTTAAAAGACCTTTATTTTGCAAACATGTCATGCTTAGTAAAGAGTCCTTCAGAACGAAAACAAAACCCAGGTACTGACAATACAAATATCCTATTCTGAATATGAGATTCTTACTGAAGGGACCATCAGAGGAGATATATGGTGGCTGGGGATGCAGCTCCATGGTAGACGCTTGCCTGGCATGGGTTTGATACCCAGCACCACTATAAAAAGAGCGTGGGGACAGAGATGGTCATATAACCAGGTCATTTTTTCTAAAAAAATCTATGTTAGTCCTTGGCGGTATGGGTACATAGCAAGTTTAAGCCAATGCAGTCATCTCCAGACGTGGGAGCTTGTTCCCACCAGCCATGTCTAGTAAGCACTCCTTTCTGCAACCTGCACAGAGTGGGGACTCATCCTGATCCTATGAGAGCCTCCATGGTCACCAAGTTCGGCATCCACTGAGAGATGGACAGTTAAGAAGGTGGTTGTGATGTGGACAAGTAGTTTTGTTTTTACACTCAAAGACTCCATGCCAACAAGGACTTCATTTCCTAAACCCAACAGGGTGAATTCCTCCAAGCACCAGGAGAGCTGTCAAATAAAAAGCAAGTCAGCCTCAGGTAAGGGGAGACAGTGTAGGAAAGCCTTATTGCAAGGGGAGGGACTGCAGCAACCCTGGCCATGAGGTCTGCTCACATCTCTGAGGGCAGCTCCAGACACCTCCCTCATGGGGAGTCCAGAAGGCACGCAACCTTTTAGAAAATGTTGTAAATTAATCACAGTGTGGGATGCCACCTGTGAAGTTACTTCAGTGATGAAGCTACTTGGGTGGCTTTTACTCGGTACTGAGCCACGGGGGACTTAGGTCTCCCCTGAGGATCGATCCCGGCATTCCTGTATGTAGACTGCCCGAGGCTTGAGATCTCTGCCCTCGCTGTATTAGTGGGACAGGTCTCAAAGCTCCAGAGTTGGGCCTAACCCATTGGGAACTAATAGTCCACCCCCTACCTTATTTGGCAAAGAATATTCCATGGAAACCTTTGAAGTTCCCCCATATAAATAAAGCAAATGAGGGCTCTCGATCTTTCTTTCCAGTATGGAAGCTCAATGAAGAGCCCTCCCGCCCCTATTTTCTAAAACTGCTTCCTGTGTCCTGTGGTTTCTTCGACGTTGTCTCTTTCTTAGCTTTATTTCACGGCCCACCTGTTACACGCAAAGGAAATCCAAATTTCTTTGCCTGTAGGGGACATGGGCAAGACCACAGGAAAATATGTCAGGTTAGAAGACAGTCCTTCTCTTTATTTAGCCTTGGAGGGTGAGGTAGAGTGTGAGATGTGACTTCCCTTGGGTGGCATGTGTCTGCTTTTCGACCTCAGTGCCCTCTAGAACCTGGAAGGTCCCAGCGTTTGGGAGGCTTCCTTGTGTCCCAACATTGCAACCTTTCTTCTGTGTCAGAGGAACATTGTCATAATGTTGGGAAATCCTGGCCAGGTCGCAGTGAACCATCTGGAACAAAGGGCAGCATGACCTTCTAGCTTGCCTAATAGTTTGAAAATCCATTTTGAGAAGCTCAATGCAAAAATGACCTTGCTCCAATGTCTTTTCTGTACTGTGGGGTTTAAATACATACCTTCTGAGAAGGCAATAAATTTCCTTGAATTTCATCTTCAACAGTAAAAAGTAACAGCTCAGGTCCACTGCCTCCTGCTCCTAGATGCTGCTAATATGAAAGAACCCGAATCCCATACGCCTGTTACGAGAGCTGCAGGAGCAGGTGCGTCGGCATCCTGTACAGCAGCAGTTAGCCACCGAGGATTCGCTGTGCTGCTTGGAAGCTTTGCTGGAATTCTAATCTCTTTCTTTTACTCTTAGCTTGTGAAATAGAAGGTTAGGTTTTGCTCAGCTGGTCGACTCCCTAGGTGCAGGTATTTGGCAACTATAAACTGCAAATTAGGTTAGGTATGCAGAGCAGAAAATTTCTAGTTTATAAATAAAAGCAATTTATTTTAACCCAATAAGAAAACAAACAAAAACACTAGTAAATGAAACAAATAAGAATGTATAAACTATGGGGCTGGGTTGTGGCTCAGCAGTAAAGCGCTCACCTTCCACATGCGAGATGCTAGGTTCAATCCTCAGCACCACCTAAAAATAAATAAAATAAAGTGATTTTTGTTATACAACTAAAAAAAATATTTAAAAAGAAAGAATATAAAATATCATTCCATAAGACCAAAGCTGATGAATCAGTTTAGTTCCCAGTCTAAACCTGGGAGGGAAGAGTGGAGGCAGGTATGAACTTCAAATGGGTCTACCTTTTCCAGTCCTGTGCTCTTCTGTGTGAGGCAGGGCCTCCCTCCATGGTTCTCACAGATGTCCCAGCCCCACGTGCATGTGGACCAGCAGAGCACAAGACCAGTGCTCTGCTCTGACAGGAGAGAAGTCAGCTGTGTCCTCATCAGCACCAGGTCTCTGAGTGCTCTCCAAGGGCACTTTTCCTGCAGGGGCCAGGTAGTAAGAACGTTCCCCTTTCAAGCCCCCGACTCTGTTCCTTGACTAGTCAACTCCACCACTGCAGTGAAGATGCAGCCTAGACCGTCTGAAGATGGATGAACACAGCTGGGTACCAGCACGACTTCATTTGCAAAGCAGGTGGTGGGCTGGGCTGGGCCCGCAGGCTGCACTGCAGCCGCTGACCTAGAGATGCCCGGGCTCTGCCTGGGGGCTGGGGGTACTCACTGGGAGGAGCAGAGTCCAGCTCTCTGCAGCCAGGAGCTCAGTTCCCAGGGGCTTCTGATCTCTCCTGCCACCCTTGTGCCCTCTGCGTGTGTCCTGCTCACGTTGGCTCTGGAGGAACTGGCTAGTGGGGACAAACAAGGCGAGCAAGGACAAGAGGCAGCTCTCAACAAGCCTGTCTGTGGTGACATCCTCCTCCTGTTGCTCACAGCTACCCCAAGCAGGAGGTGGGTGGGGCTTTGTCTGGTTTGGGACCCAAATGGGGAAGCCACATTTTATTCTTGGGTCAGTGATCTCAAGCGTGGAGCTGCTCCAAGAGTGTAAGATCCAGCTGCAGCTCATCAGGGACAGTCGCTCATTGACTGTGTCCTGATCTCAGGCTGTCACATTCCTGATGAAACTCCAGTACTTTTTGCACATTATCTAGAGTGTTGCCTAAAATAACTAAATTTTTTAAAATGTGGTTCATGTTTCTTTTGCTTTATTAGAGTAGAGGTTTTGGGGGTTTTGTTTTCTTTTCGTGAACTTCAGCTGTGTATCAGGGAGGCTGCGTGGTCTCTCTCCTTCTCTTGCTATCTCACCTGCACAAGCACTTCTCCTCTGCCTTTTCATCTGCTTCTCTGCAGAGGACCCTTCTGGGGCCCTGTGATGGTGCTGTGAAGCTTCAGGGTTGCAGGTGCTCTGAAGCTTCTTCTCTCATCGGCCTCAGGAGGGCATTTTTGGCGATGGTTTCTCCCCTCTCTTTTCCTTCTCTCCATCTCATGTCCGAGTGTTTGGTGGCCTCATCTGCTGCCCCTGCTCTGCTCTCCTCTACTTGATAATGTTCCAGCTGCCAATAGGGGCCACGGTGCTGTGTGTCCTGGAGCTGCAGAGATGAAAAGGCAGCTCCTGCCTTCAAGGTTCAGGGTGCAGAGTGACGAGGAGGCAGACGCAAGCAAGCCTGATGCTGGGTGCTGTTGTCTGCCTCCGTGAGCTGCAGACACTGTGTCCATCAGCCTTTCATCGTGTGGCAAATACCTGAGAAAAGCAACTTAGAGGAGGGCGATTTGCAGCTCACGTTTCGGAGGTTTTAGTTGGTCTGTCCCACTGCTCTGGGCCTGAGGTGAGGCAGAACGTCAGGGTGGAAGGACATGGTGGAAGAAAGCTTGTCAGCTCAGGCAGCTGGGAGCAGAGAGCAAGGAAGGGGCCAGGACAAGATAGAGTCCCCAAGGGGGCACACCACCAGGGACCTCCTTCCTCTAACCACATCCTACTGCCTGTGGTTTCCATCTCCTCCCTGGGGTCCATTCATCCACCAGAGTGATCATCCACTGTTGGGGTCAGAACCCATCAGTCACTTCCCAAAGTCCCACCTCTGAGCCTTGCTGCATGGGACCAGGCACTGCACAGGGTCCAGGCACTGCATGGCGTCCAGGCACCACACAGGGACCAGGCACTACATGGGACCAGCATTCAACACATGAGCCTTTGAGAGACATTGTGGATGCAAACACTGACATCAGTGTTGACCAAGTGGCCACAGCCCAGCTGGGTGGGCAGGAGTGGAGCTGTGATACATTATTGCACTCCAAGGACGGGAGGAATGGCACCTGGTCACCTTTGGAGGCTCAGCCAGGGCCCATCCCTGTGTAGCATCAAGTCCTGAAGTGCAACCCTCTGCCACCCCCAAGACAGCAGACACAGCACTCCTGCTGAGAGGCCCTGCTGCTGCAGTTGAGCCACAGTGAGGGGGAGAGGAGATAGGAAGTCTCCTGACTCTGTGCTAGAGCTCATGGGGTGCAAGATCCTGCCTTTGGATTGCTCACTGCTGGAAGGACCTACAGAGGCACAGAAAAGAAATGACCAAGTAATTTTGTCAGCACAGGCTGGCCTTTTGCAGTGCCCAAGTTCTGAGAGAACACAGAGTGAGAGGAAGTGAGGATCTGGCTAGTTTCCTTCAGAGGGGAGTTGGGGTGTGAAGGTTATGCTATTCCCAGTCTTTGCTGTCTCTGGAGAGGCAGCACGTGGGCTCTGTCAACACATCTCGGGCTGCATTTTGGGTTGTTTTCTCAGGACAAATGCCCCAACATATATGATGAAGTCAATGGATGTCAGGAGCAAACATGTTCAGAGGTTTCGTAATATTGCCAATTGTTTTCTTAAAGGATCATAATAAATGTCCACTCCTTGCCCCAGCAGAAAAGGTGTCCAACTCACAAAAACTTAACAGCATCAAAAATCATGCTCTGAAACATCTCCAGTACAACAGGTGAAAGTATCTCACGCTTCCTTTGCGCATCCTTGATTCCTAGTGATATGGAGCATTTTATTGTGTTATTAGTCATTTCTCTGTCCTCTCCTGCCAACCAGCTGCTTTGTTTTTGCTCCATGGATGGATCCTCCACAGGTGAGTTGTGTAACTGCAGTAGGACAGCAGCTGAACCAGAGTGCTGTGCTGGTTCCCGATGTTGGACTAGCAAGGACTTCAGAGTTGAGAGCTGGGGTTCTCAAGGCTCATCACAACAGCTGTCTCCTGTGGGCTCTCTGGGAGATAGCCCTGCAGCTGCAGTGTGCCTGCTCGTGACAGTAACACCCTGGGCCCCTCAGCCTGCTCACCCCGCAAGTGGCCACAGCCCTTATTGCTCATGGGAGTCTCACCTCTCAGAGTTAATTTCAAGTCCAGCAGGACTGACAAAGTGCACCTGGCACAAAGGGAAGCGAGTCTGCAGGCAAATTTGGCAAAACCCATCTTGAGATCTCAACTTAGGAAAAAATGACTTAGAATTGGTTTTCTATCCTCATACTTGTTAGAACTGAGTGCAGTTTGACAAAACTGGCTTTCTGCCAGATCTTGAAATAAGCCTATATAATAACGAAAGTTAGTTTTCTAGATATTTAGATTTTCACATCCAAGATTCACAAATCATTTTTAATTTTAATTTTGTAGAACAAAATGAGAAAAGCATGACATTTGGACCCTCAGATGCTTGTTTGACCCTTCTCTCTGCTTCTGTTGTTTAGTAAGCTATTTTTGTAGGTTTAGATTCTTCAAATATTGCAGCTATAGGTAGTACTTCTCACAGTTCTGTTTTCTTCTTACTAATGACTTTTAATGAAAACAAATGTAGGGGGCTGGGGATACAGCTCAGTTGGTAGAGTGCTTGCCTTGCATGCACAAGACCCTGAGTTCAATCCCCAGCACCAAAAAAAAAAAAAAAAAGAAAAAGAAAGAAAGAAAACAAATGTAGGAAAAGCATTAAATCTATACAAAAAAACGCGGAGGTCCTGACACATACTGTAAGAATGAATCTCACAGAATAGCAACCATAAGCAGCATGTGCTGGGCTCCTGAGGGTGTGGCCTAAGACCACTCTTCATCTGCTTTGTACCAGGGGACCGCTCCGATATTGTGTCCGCTCTGCGTTTATTTTGTCTTGTGTATTTTCATAAGTGCTTTCGGGCTGCATGTCCCTCTTGGAAACCTTTAGCGTTCTCCCAGCACAAAGATGGATACTCTGCCTTTTGCCTTCACTGAGGCATTCTGGAGGGCTCCCAGGAGGATTTGGCCTTTGAGTCCTCAGCCAGTGGAGACCATATATAATGAGGCTTTCGTGTGGAACGTTTCACATTGTTTCTGGAAAGTCCTAAGAACACCCAGATAGTGGCCCAGGAGCTACGGGGGATGGCCCCAGGGATAGATGTGGTGGTGGGGGAGAGGTGGTGAGGAGGGACAGGCTGAGCATGGTCCTGGGCTACTCTGCCACATGCAGCCTCCTTCTCCACCTGCAAGATAAGTGCCACTTTGTCTGCTGAGGGAGGAGACAGGATGAGAGGAGCCGGTGGATGCGGAGCACCTGTCACAGTGGCACTCACAGCTGACCACATCCCAACCACCTGAGTAACAAACTCCAGAGGCCCTGCATGGTGAGATAGGGCTCTGCCCGACTGTGTTTCCATTTATGTGCCCGCTCATCCCAAGCCTGCACACACACACACACACACACACACACACACACACACACATGACCATGTTTCCACCTGTGTGCACACTCATCCCAAGCCTGCACACACACACACGACCATTTTTCACCTGTGTGCCTGCTCATCTCAAGCCTCCACACATGTGTGCACATACACACACGTGCACACACACACATACACACACACAACCGTGTTTCTATCTGTGTGCACGCTCATCCCAAGCCTGCACACACCCACACACACACACCCCAGGATATTTTTTAAAACCTTAAAACTTTTTAAATAGAAGATCCTCAAACATGTTAAAAAATTCTGCATTCAACAAGAATGGCACATACATTTTTAACAAAAAATAATACATCAGTGGAAATACTTCAAAACATTCATTTTAAGATGTTCTTTCAGGCTGGGGTTTGTGGCTCAGTGGTAGAGCACTTGCCTAGCACTTGTGAGGCACTGGTTTGATCCTCAGCACGACATAAAGATAGATAGATAGATAGATAGATAGATAGATAGATAGATAGATAGATAGATAGATAGATAGATAAAGGCATTGTGTCCACTACAATTAAAAAAATATTTTAAGGTGTTCTTTCATGTAACAAATATCTGTTGAAAAGAAGCAATTAATTTCTCCTTTCCTCTCTCCCTCCCTCACTCTCCCTCTCTATCCTGCTCTCTCTTTTCCTACCTCCCCTTCCCTCCATTTCTCTCTTTCTCTCTCCCTCTCTCCTCTCTCTCCCTCCCTCCGTCTCTTACTTTTTCTCTCCTCAAAGGCAGAAGAAACATGTTTCTCTCCTATACATGTGCCTGGCTTGTAATTTGCAGTTTCGCAGTTTCTAAATAGTCTTGCTCACTCAATCCCTGCTTCCTGTGCTTCCATAGTAGTCTCTTAAAATAAACCTGGACCTTAACCCCCACCCTGAGGGCCCCCACCACAGGGTTGGCTGCAGGAAGAAAGCCAGGCCTCCTCTGCTCCCCCCAGTCCCCAGGAGGATGACCTTTTGGGCACCCAACATTTGAATGTTTTGCTCCTTTTTTTGGAGTATTCTAAGAAATGTCTGCTCCTCCCATGGACACACATCTACCCATCAGATTTCCTGAGGGCCTGGCTCATGGCCACAGCTACAGCTCCTGCATGGCCACTTCTTTCACCCACTGAAGGCTTGTGCTGGGCTGTAGGTGTCTGCTGCGGGTCAAGTCTGTTTCCCAGGACAGGGAGCAGCAAGTGGTCTTCCCCACC